TAGGACGGGGAATAATCCCTTATGTTAGTCGCCAATGCCCAGAGGGTAAGCAAAAGGCAAGGTATGAAAATTTGGTGACAGTGTAGACCTGAGACGAGCTATAGAAGAGAATGAAAGAATCCATAACTATCTTGCTTTGCCAAGTCCAAGTCTGCTCCTCCCTAGGCACAGCAAAGTTCTACTTCACCCAAACCTGCCCAGTAGATGTTGCATTGCAAGAATTTATGCAAATTTTGCCAGAGTAGTTTCAGGATCTGTGGGTCCTCTATAATAAGAAGCCATTGGAATTTTCTTTCCTTTCCTTCAACTCCAAATCTTATTTTAGCAATGAGCCTTCTGTCCAGAGAAGATGTCAAAGACATCCATTGTTCTAAGTTGAAAGGAAACTTAGACATGAAGCAGAAGGAAGGATCAAGGTCCAAAACTTCAGATGGAGTCATTGCACTCAATCACTCAAGCCATCAGATAAGGCAGATGTAGGTTGTCTCTTAACAGATGAGTATATACACATTTATGCACATCTATGTTTCTGTAAGTATCTTTGCTTCAAGTTCAGTCAAAAGCTTTTGGCCTTTCCACATACCCAAAACATTTTCCAGAGCTTTACTTCCAGTAGTGGCCATCTTTCATGAGCAAAGGCTACAGGTGTTCCTTATTTTGACAACAGCCTACTGGGGGTTCAACATTTTCCAGGTCCTGGCAACATTCTAATTCAAACTCTGATCAAATTTGTATGGGTCATCAATTGGGAAGGCTAGCTAATCTCATTACAATAATGATATTCCTGGAAGCAGTCCTGGACACTCGAGAATACGGTAGAGTTGCCCTCAGAGAAGGTGAGTATCTCGCATGGGACAAGTCATAGCTCTATCCCATCTGTTTGCATGCCATGGCCCTAAAATGGTAGAAAAGTAGTCCCCAGTAATCCATGCAGTCTGTAGGACTCACTGGAAGGTTGAGAACTTTATAATCATGTTTTCTAAAGTAATGGAAGGTTTGCTTCCTTCACCAGCAACAGTGACCCCACAGTGACCATTTGGTAGTGGCTAAAGACAGTTAATCTTTTCAACTTTCATCATCTACCTGGCATACCGATCATCACAATCTATTCACTTTGTTTGGTATTCACCTCAATGACCTCCTAGTCCAAGGTCAATGATGTATGCCAATGAAGGACAAAGTGTCCAACATCAGAGTTTCAGTGACTCCCACACATTGAAGTCATTTTGGCAACACAGCCTAGGGAGCCTCAGTTATGCTCCAGATAGCAAATTGTAATATCGTATCTTTGCTTTCGAGAAGGAATACCAGATTATTCAATTTAAGCCAGAAGTATCTCCCATTCAGATTTGCCAACTGTAGAACCTGTCTTATCTCATCACTCTTTGTGTTCTGGCTTCCCAGAACGTCTTGTCAGACACTGTAAGACACTAAGCTTTGGATGTCATGGGTTAGTCTGTAACCAACAAGCATTTCAATGGATCTGCAACAAATAAGGCTATCAGGATCTCAAGTTGACAAGTAACCTTTATGGTCATGAATGGCAGTTGATCCCTGCAAGAGTGAGCTTCCCAGAGTTGGAAGTAAATGGAACTACTAACATCCAGTAGGATGCAGATTAGCCTATATACAGTCTATATCCAGAAGATTTAGTGGTCTCCAGGCTCCTCATCAGGACAATAATTTCCTGGTGGCCTTGCAGTCCATGGTATCCTCAAGTACAGTGTCTTTTCCAGGGCTTCCTATTTTCCCGAGATTCCAGACCGTACGCAAAGTGGCCAAGTGTATCATCCAAGTTCAACCAAGTTATATCTAGCTGCTGGGAGACCAAGAGGTGAAGGCTCATATGGGGATCTCACCTCCAGTGTTTGAAACCCTGCTGAAGCCCGGGCAGCTGCTAGAAATTTCATATATAGGATATTCAAACCTCACAAAATTTTAAAGGATTGTTCCCTGCTGTAATGATTATGAGTTTTCTGCAATGAAGCCTAGATATAGGATTAAGTGGTAGTCGCTTGGTCATGTTCTCACTTTCTGGATCAAGTGACCACCGCATATCTTGGTAAACCAATTCTGAAAGGCCTGTGCAGGCTGTTTTTTTCCACATGGGACTTGCAGTGCAAATAGCGCTGGAGATGTTGTCCCACTCTCAATTCTCCTTGATAAGACTCCCCCAATATCGATCTCAGTAACACTGAAGTAGTATTTGTTATGGCTACCATTTCTGTAAGAAGGATCTCCGATATCCAAGTGTCAAGCTGTAAACTACCTTATTAAAATACAGAGAAAAATCCTCCTGCGCTAAGAAGGGAAAGTTCACCTACTGGAAGCTGCCAGCACTTAACCTGCTACCCAAACAGTGTGTATAATAATAATAATCAAAATAGTGCAGCGCTCAAAACAATAATGTATATAACCACAAATGTGCTCACATGCATTTATGTCACAACAAATACTATTTAAAATTAATAATAATGTGAAATATCTTATCTATCCAGGTGCCACTCAATAATAATTCTAACTTATTAGTGCCCACATATTCAAAAAAAATAGTTAATACATTGCTTAATTAGTAACTACCGTTTACTATAAAGCATATACCAGTGCTCCAAGTGCAATGCCGTGACCACACTTATATATACTACTCCAAAAAAATGTTCACAAATTTAAAAAATATAATAATAAGTCCATGCAGTGTGTAAATCAAAGTGCAAAAAATGCAAAAAAATATATATTGTGTCCACATTCAGTGCACCAGCACCTCTTCACCTCCTAAGGCTAGATTGCCTCCTCACCTCCTTAATGCGACCCCTAAGGGCCAAACAGCTTTCAGGATCTCTCTGGATCCTTATCCCCTGGTAGTAAACACCTCTCCTCACGTTGTGGATCCCTTTAGGGGGCTTCCATAACCCCCGATCAGAAACCTCTGGAGAACAATCACTCACCAACCAAGTGAGTAAAAAGAGAAGAATCCTCTAAGTGTAGTATTCAACCAAACACTTTAATGGCAAAAGGTAAAATATACAGCCACTCACATATGTCCACAATCTTCTTTTCTCAGTCTGTGGGTGTACTGCATGTAAAACGAGGACTTCTTGGGTATACCAAGATGGCGGCTGGCGCCGGAAGTGCGTCACCGCGTACCGGAAATGACGTGCTAACGTGCCTACGCGTTACGTCACTGTCACTGTTACGGCACTGCCCAGAGGAAGTCACGAGTGACAGTGACGTAACACGTAGGCACGTTAGCACGTCATTTCCGGTACGCGGTGACGCACTTCCGGCGCCAGCCGCCATCTTGGTATACCCAAGAAGTCCTTCGTTTTACATGCAGTACACCCACAGACTGAGAAAAGAAGATTGTGGACATATGTGAGTGGCTGTATATTTTACCTTTTGCCATTAAAGTGTTTGGTTGAATACTACACTTAGAGGATTCTTTTCTTTTTACTCACTTGGTTGGTGAGTGATTGTTCTCCAGAGGTTTCTGATCGGGGGTTATGGAAGCCCCCTAAAGGGATCCACAACGTGAGGAGAGGTGTTTACTACCAGGGGATAAGGATCCAGAGAGATCCTGAAAGCTGTTTGGCCCTTAGGGGTCGCATTAAGGAGGTGAGGAGGCAATCTAGCCTTAGGAGGTGAAGAGGTGCTGGTGCACTGAATGTGGACACAATATATATTTTTTGCACTTTGATTTTTTTTGCACTTTGATTTACACACTGCATGGACTTATTATTATATTTTTTAAATTTGTGAACATTTTTTTGGAGTAGTATATTAAGTGTGGTCATGGCATTGCACTTGGAGCACTGGTATATGCTTTATAGTAAACGGTAGTTACTAATTAAGCAATGTATTAACTATTTTTTGAATATGTGGGCACTAATAAGTTAGAATTATTATTGAGTGGCACCTGGATAGATAAGATATTTCACATTATTATTAATTTTGAATAGTATTTGTTGTGACATAAATGCATGTGAGCACATTTGTGGTTATATACATTATTGTTTTGAGCGCTGCACTATTTTGATTATTATTAAACTACCTTATTGCTACCATTATCAAACAGAATAGCTCTAGCCTCTTCTTCCTCACCATACAAAGGTCTGCAAATCTTTGCCTTTGGATCAAGACATCATTCTTCTAGTATTGTCACCACAAGCATTGGAAGTGGACTTGATGCTGAAGAAATACATGGAAGTTTTCATTCTTCAGAAGTTCAGATAATGGGATATTCAAGCCTGGCAGTGTCAGAAGAAGACTTTCACTGTGTTCTAGGACAATTCTATTGTCGCTGGTCAAGGTAGTGTGATGGGCTTATATGGCAAAGATGAATCTATCAATTAAGTGCAGAGTCCACTTTACCAGATGGATTGCTCATAGACAAAATTGAGAGGTCCAGATTTTCTGCAGGAGAGCAACTGGATCCATGTAGGGTGCATTTCTATCACATTACAAATTTGGTCAAGCAACATTGACAACAGGGGAGTTTGGCTTCAGTTCTAACTGAATGTAATGCCATGTTGATTAACCGCTAGCCTACAGGGCACTTATACCCCCTTCCTGCACAGGCCAATGTCCAGCTTTCAGCGCTGTCGCACTTTGAATGACAATTGCGCGGTCAAACAACACTGTACCCATATGAAATTTTTATCATTTTTTTGTGACAGATAGAGCTTTATTTTGGTGGTATTTAATCACCTCTGGGTTTTTTATTTTTTCTTAAACAAACCAAAAACCACTCAAATTTCTGAAAAAAAAAATTTTTTTTCTTAGTTTTTGTTATAAAATTTTGTAAATAAGTGATTTTTCTCCTTCATTGATGTGCGCTAATGAGGCTACACTGATGGGCACTGATAGGCTGCACTTTTAGTACACTGATAGGTGGCACTGATGGGCACTGATGAGGAGGCACTGGTAGGTGGCACTGATGTGCATTGACAGGCATCACTGATGGGCACTGAAAGGCAGCACTGATACATGGCACTGATATATGCCACTGATAGGCAGCACTGATAGGTGGCACTGACTGGCACTGATAGGCGGCACTGACTGGCACTGATAGGCGGCACTGACATGCACTGATAGGCGGCACTGATAGGCAGCACTGACTGGCACTGATAGGTGGTACTGATTGGCAGCACTGATAGGTGGCACTGATTGGCATTGATAGGTGGCACTGACTGGCACTGATGGGTGACACTGAAAGGCAGCTCAGATGGGCACTGATATGTGGCATTGATGTGCACTGGTAGGCACTGATATGTGGCACTGCTGGGCACTGGCACGAGGCACTGATGAGCACTGACATAAGGCACTGATGGACACTGACAGTTGGCACTGCTGGGGCTACACTGATCATCAGGGCACACTGATCATCGGTGCCCTGATGATCAGTGTACATGTCCCCTAAGTGGAAAGCCGATTACCGGCTCTCCTCCCCTCTCGAGCTGTCAACGTCACAGCTTGAGAGGAGAGAAATGCCAATAACCGGCATTTCCCTGTTTACATGTGATCAGCTGTGATTGGACACAGCTGATCACCTGACTGAGCAGACATCTTCGGCTTTTTCTGTGATCGGTGATCCGCTGTGTCCGAGGGAGCGCATGCGCTGAGCTGCGCACGTGCAGTGAGAATGTCATATGATGTCCTCCCAGAACGAGAGAACCACCCTGCGCCCCTCATATTACTATATGGCGGGTGGGAGGTGCTTAAAATACTTTAGTTTTATCCTCCCTTGTTGTTTGTTTTCGTGTTGCATCCCATTCGTGTATGCTTGTGTCAGGAAAACAGAAAACTGTATACTTACCTGAATGTAATTTTCATTTCCTGACGCATAAACATGAGAACATACAGGTCCCTCCTTAAGGCTTCACATTGAGTATAGTTATGAGAATGCTGCCATTGGGGAGGTAACTCATTTATATAGTATAACAGGTCCTGGGATTGGGTGGGATGCTATACCCATTCGTGTATGCTGTCATGCTTATGCATCAGGAAAGGGAAATTACTGTCAGGTAACTACACAGTTTTCAATTGTGTCTTACTGTTTTTCTATCCCAAATCTACATATTATGAAGTGATGAAGCTTTCTAAGAATTATAGCAAGGGCTAAGGTAAGGCCTTTGTAACGGAACCGACCCCAGACTGCGCTTGGGTGCTTCCGTTAGACTACAGTTTACCTGTCCAAACACCGACAACAGACACCACAGCAGACCATACAAGACTAGACGACACAAATCTTGAAGTAATCCAGAATGTAGACTACTTTATTTCAACACAGATACAAGATATATACACTCAAGGGACAGTCCCCCCTCTCTGCATAATGACACAGGGCAGGACAATCTACATTTAGTAACAAGAGACACACAGGTATTCAAACTTCACACCAGCAAACAGTCCCATCAGGAGGGAGGGCTGCTGGAGACACCCCCCCCCCCCACTAAGCTAATACAGATAAACACATTCATCCAATAATAGTTTGCTCCCAAGCAAGACAAACAATAGAACAATGAGATGCAGACACACAACACCAAACAATCCACAACCCCCACCCACCTATCTCCTAGACATGTCTACACAATATTAGGACAGATCACAGTGTACCCCTAGCAGGCACAGGGTGACTTACACATAAGAGGGATATAAGGAGCTGAGACAGGGGTCTCCCCGCCTCACCAAAGTGAGCTGGGTTCCATGAGCCCCCCACCCAAAGTGACTCCCGTCACAGCCTTGTTCTCAAAATCAAAGAGAGCTTTTATTTTTCTTGAAGAGAGATACATTAATGGAATATTGGTACATGAAGGATCTGAAATTTAGAAGAAAAAAAATGTGAACTTAGCCTTTAATTTTGTGTTTTTTCAGGTTTTCGCTGTTCCTAAATATCCTAAAATTGCTCTATTTTGAGCCAACATTATTTTTAGTAATAAAAAAAATGTTATCAGATTTACCAAATGATGATGAAAACCCTCTGTTTTTTAAATTAGCATATGGTTCCTGACACCATTTTTAGTGCAGATACATGCAATAAAAAAAGGGAACAATTAATGTAAGAAAGTAGTTCCTGTTTTGTTTTTTTGGTTAGTGGTGTCGTTCCAAATTATAAAAGTCTAAAGTACACAGTATTAATAGAAAAAGAAATAACATTATGGGGCCTAACAATTCCAAAAAATAATAATAATAATAAAAAACCTGACCCCTAGAAACAACATAGAATTATTTCCTAACATAGTATTTTTTAATTAGGAATTATTATTGAGTGTGGTGAATTTTAATACTAACTGTGATCATATTTTCTAAATAATTTATAAGTTTCAAAATTTTGGGCAAAAATATTTTTTGTAAACTACAGATTTTCTATTTATAAACATATAAGCCAGTTTAAACACTTGTATATGTAAAAACAAATAACCACAAACATTACAGCTTCTCTTAAAGCTGAACTCCAGGATAAGCCAATATTGTATACATTTAAGAGGCATGTGTATTCTTACTTTATTCTTGATGTGCTTTGAGTATTTCTTCCAGATCTAGTAGGGGCATGAAACCATCTCTGTGCAATTTTTTGCCAATGTGTGTTAATGCATTTTATTAGGTTATAATAAAAGTGATATTTTAGAGCTCTGTGGGTTCTGTGCACATAAAGATAAGACTGCACAGCTCTCGCTGTAATTTTTGGACAGATTGTTCTAACGTAAATAGGCAAATTTATTTAAAGAAAGGTTTGGTGCTTACACTCTAAATTCATAAAATAGTGCATAAATCCAAATAAATAACACTACTTGGTGAACAAATATCTCATTGCAATGAAAGTCCCACAACACAGTGTGAAAAAGTGCTCTGTAATAAATAAATATCTCTCTTTTTTGTTGTTTCTTATCACACCAGTGCTCCACCACGTGTTACACTACAATGCACACACCACAGGTTTGTGACCCCTTAATGAACAGGAAGGTCATAAGCGCTTAATCCAAAGACTCAGATGCAATTTCCAAATGATTTGATGGGCTGATGGTAACCCCTCCAGTGGACACTTCTTCTCCAGTGCAACTTGCAACTCCCTCTCTGGAAATAAATGAATAATGAGCACCAAAAAGTAAATACTATCATTGAATAAATTAAAAGTGCCCATATATTTAAAATAATGCACACTCACATTTATAGAAGGTTTCAATAGATTAGGGAATTATCTGATGCACTTGGACATTAGGATGAAATTAAATTTTTTAAAATTGGAAACGGTTACTTAGGGCATTTACTTTGCCTTCCTCAGGACCAAAACTGCAGAAGATGCCTTGACGGTAAAAACTGTAGAGGTAGTAACACATTAGTCATATCTGAGCTACATTGTGACGTTGCTTCTGGTTCTGGCTTTTGGAACACACTCTGGCTCCAGTGAGCGGAGGCAATTGTAATTGTCTATTAGTGCTGAGAGACTGGGCACCATTTAAATGTGAGCATGCATTTTGTTTCCAGAACAGTAAGATAGGAGAAATCATCCAGTGGGCACACTAGTGCTGTGACCCTGGTGACAACCAGGGATTTTCACTTTGGAGGGATTTCCTCTCAAGTCCTGTTTTGGCTATGGGACAGGAAGTGGAGCAAAATCTCCTCAATTGGGCACAGATGACTAAAACTCTCCCTTACTCTATCCAAAATGAAAAAATATCTTTAGTTCTACTTTAAGAACTCTTTTTGGTGTTTGTCAGCTTAGTCTTGCTCAGGTCAACAAGAATGCTATGGAAAAGTGTTCTCTGCTATAGTGCTGTAATGCCCATCATATCCACTGGGCATGAGCAGTCATCATTATGGAATTTGTATTGATGACATGTCAAAAGCAAGCGGGCTTATTTTATAATGTTGAAGATGTTTTATTATTCATCTTAAAGTTGAACTAAACTGCATCTGAGCACCACAAAATTAAATGCTATATAATTCATTTTTAATATTCAACACAAACTCACACATCCATTATGTCTCCATGCTTTCTTTTGCTGAGAAATCACTTTGAAAAACATCCATTAGTATATCTGGCAGCTGTCATCTTGAGTAAGGGCAGATAATTCATGTAGCATTTTCTTCCTGGAATCCATCTGCCCTTAGCTTGAGCATTCATACAGTAGGGCATGCTTAGCTGAGAAAAGCCCTCCTCTCCTCTAGAAGACTTCTGTAATATATGACATAATTTTGCTAGACATGAAAACCTGGCAGTAATTGAAAAAATGTAAAATAAAAAAAACAGTTTAAAACAAATAAATATGTATTTCCTATTCTTTCCTATCTATTTACTAATGCTAGCAGCATAAGGATTAAAAATAGTCAAGGTTGATTTTAAGTTTGGTTTCACTTTAACAACATTCTTAATTTGAATAAGTGCTAGAAAATGTCCTGTCCTTTAAATCTGACATTTATGAATAATCCAATCAACAGGATTCAATCACCTTAATCCAGTTACGAAGATGTCATGAAACGTGTTGCTGCTGGTGTTAATTGGTATGAAATGTATTTATTTGTCTGCTACAAGACTAAATATGTTAGGATGGTGCTCTAAATAATTGCTCATAGATGAAACATCTTGATAAAAAAAATGCTAAATGTGATATTAAACCCAAAGCAAATACTTATTATATTGCAGCTTACCAATTATTAGATGTGGTGGATGAATTTCTTTTCTTTTTTGGGCTTTCTTTCCTTTAGTTTCATCTGGTGATCTAGCCAGTATGTCTGTTTTTAAACAAAAAGCAAGCTCTCCTGAAAATGTAGCATGTAGAGTGTTACCTCTGACAGTGGTGCCTAAAATGATCAGCTGTTATTTATGTAACCTTTATCCCAAAAGAAAAAAAACAAATATTGCTGTAACTGCTTGTGTACTGTAATTGCAGTGTAAGTTTGGCATCTGTATCTAAAGCTGCTAGTCCATCTAAAACTCCCCTTCCTCCAGACTGGCAATAATGCTGGCCAAAGGTACCCCCAGTGCTCCTTCATCCAGAGTACAGACATTCTAATACAGTAGGTGTGTTACTGGCCAGATCACCAGGCAAAAACAGGGAAGGAAAATCCTAAGAAAAGAAAAGTGATGCAGCCACCACATCTAATGTTTGATGAGGTTCAATATATTACATTTTTGGTTTTGGGTTTAATAACACTTGACGTTTGTAGCTGCTTTTTGTTCTATTATACAGAATACACTGCTCAAAAAAAAAAAATTAAAGGAACTTTGAAAACACATCAGATCTCAATGGGGAAAATATGCTGGTTATCTATACTGATGTGGACTGGGTAATGTGTTAGGGATGTAAGGATGCCCCATCGTTTGATGGAAATGAATATTATCAACCTACAGAAGACTGGATTCAAAGATTAAAAACCCAAAAATCAAAAAAAATGATGCAGCAGGCTAGTCCATTTTGCTGAAATTTCATTGAAGCAATTCAAAATGGTACTCAGGTTGTATGGCCCCTACGAGCTTGTATGCATGCCTGACAGCTTTGGGGCATGCTCCTAATGAGATGATGGATGGTGTCCTGGGGTATTTCCTCCCTGATCTGGACCAGGGCAT